TTAGCAGAACCTGATGACTGCGGGGCTATCGATCAGGTCAGCTACGTGACACCAGAGTGGACTGCGGGGCTATCGCACTCTGAGTCGTCTAGCTATCGACTGCCATACTGGAGGCTGCGTGCCGGTTTATATAGGCGGCCCTGTGCTCCCACTCCCACGATGTCGTAGGTGATGCGCGTTGAATGAAATAGATAGTCGGTGTGCGAGAGAGAAAGTATTCGGGTCCATGCGTAGTACATTATTGTCTTGCTACATTCTCCCCCTCTGGTGCTCGTTAACGTCCCGTAAGAGCACCAGCATCCTTACGAGGTCTTCCTCTTCGACGGATTGGATTAACAGAGTTTGGCAAATCATCATCTCTTCTCTCGAATTTAGTTATAGCAGAAGTATGGTATCTGCCAATTGACCTTTCAGGTGTATCTGGGTGTGCTACTTCGTAAGTGGCAGCTCCATGTTTCTTTACTATTATGTAAGGACCGTCTCGCCGTGGAGCAAACTTTGCAGATAATTGTTTTTCACTATTACTAATTGGATGTGTCTCGACCAACACTAAGTCTCCAATTTTATATCCTGGATCGGGTCTTCTCTTAGCGTTTGCCTTAAATCTGTTTGATTCCAGATTATCTTCAACATTTTCTTTTGCAAGTGCCAAATCCTGAGCTAATTGCTTCAAGACTGGAGTCAGCGATCTACTTGCATATTCTACAGGATGTTCATGCTCGCCCTCCCCCTGCACTAAAGCTGCGCCTATGGCATACTGACTTGCGTCTGCTGACAAATCTTTAGATTCAGACATTATAAAGCTTTTCAAGAACGCGCACTTTTCTCAAAAATAGTGGGTAGTTTACGAAATACTCTTCAAAGTATATTTGTTTTGAAATAACATTCTTATAATGAGGGTATATTCTTCTAGTATTTTATTTGTATAGTGGGTACTTCACAATACGTCAATTATACTTGACATCTGTAGCTAACTTCATTAACGTTGGGCGTCAAATGTAGGGCGATAGGGTTACCAGTGCAGAAATCATAGACGTCTTTGGTAGCTGTTATCGTTTATTCTGGTTTCTGTCTAGCTTATACATAAAGTAGCAAACTTGTACTTATACATAAAACCCTATGAGAGCAGTGAAGAGGACTGCGGGGCTATCGCTCATCACTACTTTCCTACGCTACGTGAGTGTCTTAAGAGGACTGCGGGGCTATCGCTCTTGAAGACCTCATGCTTAGCAGAACCTGATGACTGCGGGGCTATCGATCAGGTCAGCTACGTGACACCAGAGTGGACTGCGGGGCTATCGCACTCTGAGTCGTCTAGCTATCGACTGCCATACTGGAGGCTGCGTGCCGGTTTATATAGGCGGCCCTGTGCTCCCACTCCCACGATGTCGTAGGTGATGCGCGTTGAATGAAATAGATAGTCGGTGTGCGAGAGAGAAAGTATTCGGGTCCATGCGTAGTACATTATTGTCTTGCTACAAAAGTATGTATTTAGTAATTGTTGTCGCTACAAATTATTTATTTTAATTAAAATAATAAAACCAGTTCATTATTTTCAAAAAAAAATGGTAATTGGAATTACACCACGTCATTCTTTCGTCCCAAAATGGTGGACAATAATGGATTGATAAAACTTCCACGCGCATATAATGTGTACACTGTATAAGGTACGACTTTCTCTTGAAGTCCGTCGAATTAAGGGAAGAAAAGGTTGTTAGGGCTACCACCCCCTCTTAAAAGGAAAAGTTGAGTTTTGGAGCTTTTAAAATTTTTTAATTCTGAGGAAATTTTCCTCATTTTTAACCGACTTCAAAAACACAAAATAGGAGGTTCTCAATTAGTATGTATTTAATTTTTTTTTAATGTATGTTACGCGATTTCTCCGTCAATTGTATACTGATTTAAATACATTTTTTTTTTATTAAAAGGGTATACTCCCGAGGTGCTCCCATTACCACCAAATCAGGATCTGGCGATGGGATCCCAGAGAAATTGAGGGAAACCCTCAAATTTTACAGCCCTGATAATGTGTTTTGGCCTTTTTCTCTAGTCATACAGGTATTTGCATTTGTCTTTTTTATTTGGAAGGTTATTTTTTTCCTTTGGATCCTTTCAAATGTAAAGAAATAAATACTTTTTTTTTGCTTTTTTCTACTCGAAAGTCGAAATCGTGTTCTACATTATTATCAGTTTTTCTTAATATACTTACTTAGACTTTATGTTTTATTGTGTCGCGATCTACCTGTGCATTTTGCATTTCTTAATTTCTAACGGTTATCGCAAATGTCAGGGGCGAGCTGGATACCAGTGATGTGGAGCTGGTAGCCTTTGCTACACATTGTGCCTAAATGTATTATGACATTAATGACGTGTTTTTGTAACGTACCTTGCATCCGTATATGGTTTATGTATCTTGTGTAGTAAAAGAAAATGGTGCCGAAGAAAAAAAAATGCCACTCCTAATTGTAGAAAATTAATTAATGTGGAAAACAATATAACAAAGCAAATTTAACATCTTATTACCTTATCCATATAAAGTACCAGACTTATTAAAACTAAATCTAATATAATCTAGCATACTACAGTTAGGTAATATAAATATTACAGTACGTAGTGTTTTAAATATCATATCTACTCATTACATTTAAAAAAAGTTGAACAGACTTTAAAAAATACTAACAAAGAGCACAAAAAATTAAAAATTAATTATAAATCTAATTGAAAAAACTAAAATAAGTGCGACCCTCAAGATAACAGGTAACATTATACTATTATAATTAGATACCTTCTAGTCTGTTTGAAGTCGGTGCAAAGCCCGATGCACAATAAGTAATGCTAAGGGTCTACGATGCTGGTTTGAGACTATTGTATATAATAATATGTTAAATTAAGATCTAATTCCTTTTGTAAAATGCAACAATTTTGTGTCTTTTGATTTTCACATTATTTCCTTTATAATATAATTATTTTTGTACAAAATGTATTACAACGTTGTCAGTCTACACACCCATATAACTAAACATAAAACATACTTAGCTACTTCGTGCAGCAATGTTTTATGTTTCAATCAATGATTGATGAATTGACCGAGGGTTACCCTGTCGTATAGCACGAGTATGACCTACGATAAGAAACATCGAATGACTTATGACACTCTCTCATACATAAAACATTAAAGACGTCGATGGCGGCCCCTGGCCCAGATTTATGGACGTCGAACTGATGGCTCTCGAACGTTCTCCAACATTTTGATAGTCATAATCAAAATTGGTTGCAATATTGTTCCATTGCTATAAATTTTGAGAACTTTGAGACCAAATGATCGTGCTCATCACACAACTATTGTCTTGGGTGGGAATCGAACTCACGACATCTGATTCAACAGCCAGTGTCACTGACCACTAGGAAACAGGCCAGTCAACATATTAGAGCAGTAAATATATAAGTGGTGCTTTTAGATACAGGTTTAGACTTTTATGAAAAAAATAGTAGTGCATACAGTTGTCGAGTAATATTAGGAATCACTATTATTTGCCCTTTATGAAAGAGAGTTTTGGCGTTGAACCAGGCGGGTGAGCGCAGGCAGAGCGCGGGCGAGTCGTCTGAATTATAAATTAGTGACGCGGGGAGGTGTAAGGGCTATTGCGGGGTGCGGGTGGAGTGGTGAGGGGGCGGAGGTTGTTTACTAAGGTAATTGTCTGGTTCACCTCGCGCTCCGCCACTGAGAGTAGCGACCGCGCCGCCTCGGAGACACGCAGGCCATCGGCACTCGACGTCCTTTATAAAACTAAGAGATCATTTTTGAAGTACCAACATCTGTTTGATTTCTCGACTTTACTCACAATTTTCCACAAACATAAATTGAGAGGAAATATCCTTGAACTAAATCAAGCGCAGATATTTGTTTTAAGAATAGTAAACAAAACGTAGATTTCAAAGAAATATAAGTTGTGTGCTGTGAAGAACTGAAGTAGAACCTTATTATACTTGTTCTCTTTTGAAACAAATCAAATTGTAACGTTTATATATTTTAAAGGTAAATAGTTGTTGCTGTATTTTCTAAGTTGGTTCCCGAGGCACATTATGAGTATTCTTCGGTGGCCGGATGGCTCAGTGCTTGTGTAACGGGCTGTTACAACATTTATGTGTGTGAACATTTAATGTTTGATTTGGTCTGGGTGTTTCTATATTTAAAATGTATGCATTTACAAAAAAAAAATGTATTCATATCAGTTGTCTTGTACCCATACCCACTAGAAGGCACTGCGTAAATGTGGTAAAAGAATATTATTATTATTCTGTATGATTTGCCTCGAAAACATACTTTTTTAGACGGAACATTTATTATAGGTTCCTACGTTGGTAAGTGGCGGACCAATGCTTCAAGAGTTTGACAAAGTAGTTTGCCCCTGTCCTCTTCAACGCGGCGCCTGAAAACGCTTTCTGATGTAATTTACGATTGGGATGGTACGTTAATAGGAGCGGTTATCAGCGCGGCGGGCTTCGAGCTGACGTCGCCCACTGATTGGATTACAGCCACTTTAGCCGCTCCACCGCGCCCTAATCAACCTCCGGATGATTGTGTCAATCTAAGATCACCGCTCGTGCCTAATACCACTTACTCACTATAGTTATGAAACCCTTATTAATATTATTTACAACAGTGACAGCGATTCAGTCTGCTATGCCATCACAAGATATATTTGCACCCAATCATATAGAATTATTACAAACACGTTTTCAGGGGAACAGAGACTGACACAAGTAATTTGCAACCAAAGAAATAACTTTAAGGGAAGCAAAGTCGCGTTCAAAAGATAGTATTGCACAAATGTATATAAGTGACAAAGGTTTGCAGGCAACGAGACGGAATACACAATTTGTTGAAATTAAAGAGTGCGTACACTTACGTACGTACGTACGTACACACGTAATAAATTGTAATGGGAAATCTAGTTGTGTAGTACATTGTCACGCCTGACACATCGTCAACATTGTTTTTATTCAAGGGTTTCTGAAAAAATGTTGACCACTTCCTGATGCGAGCGGGAGGGTGAGTTGTGGAGGGCACCGGTCGCTTCACGCGGATTAATTAAAACTTGTGCTGCGGCCTGTTGTCCCACGCCTTTTGTGTCCTCAGCGCAACGACAACCCTCGGCTATGTGAATGTACACCTTATCACAGTGTGTTAAGACTGAAACACGTGCAATATGTCGCTGGTGTTCGGCTTGTACGTACAAACCACACGCCGAAGGTGCACAATGGGCGCGTATCCGCTGTTTATTAAAGTACAGCTCTCGCGACAAAAGAGCGCCACTCGCCTCCAGCCGTGCCACACCGCGCCGTGTCGCCGACATAATGTGGAGGTGTAACTCCTCGCACCCCACAAATGCTCTACATCAACAGTTATATTTGGGAGTAATTGGAAAGTCTTGCAGCATTCGCCATATTCACACAATGACATCAAATAAACATAGCAAAAAAACTAAACAATCTATTCTATTAAATAATAGAATGTTTAAAATCGTGAGCAGAATGCTAGCTTTGTGAATAAATTAGCGACAAGGAGCAGCTACGATTTTGCTCAAATTGAATAAAACATTTCATAACTGGGATAATTCGTGAGTGAATTTGGCAACAAACCGTGAGCAAAAGACAAAACTTGGAAATATTACAACAAAGAAACTCAAAGTACCTAATCAATATCTCTTTGCATAATGAGGATCCGGGCGGAGTAGCCACGTCATAATCAATTGTGAGGAACGTTGTATTCTACGATTGTTCCAGTGGCGCTCGGACCTAAGGCAGTTGTTTTACTGCCTAATTGTGATAACAACAACATTACTCAAACAGGAACAGAGCAAGAGCTAGTCTGTTTTATTGTCTCTTTTAAACACTTCAACGAACACGAACTCAGTGAGCCTCTTTTTAACAAATTAAGTTTGTACATAAAACATCAAATAAAAAGTACTTTCAACAACAAAATAACAACAAAATCGTGATTATAGGATTTAAGTAAGTTGTAAGTACAGTTATGAACAAAGTCGATTTGATCGTTTACTACAGAAGGTGTAGACCTTGACAGCATCACCACTTACAGTGATACAGTGCCTTCAGCCAAAAAAAACGTCTTCAGCTTTATAATATTAGTATAGATTCAGCACAGGTCTTATTATTTTACTAGCTTTTGCCTATGTCTTTCCTCAAGAATCAAAGTATCTTCATAACAAATTTCATCTTAAGCGGTTTAGCGGTTATTGATTCCCTTTACAAACTTCCATTCTCCTTTCACTCCCTTGGTGGAGGATGATTTCTGGGATAAAAATCCCCTATGTCCTTACCTATACCAAATTTCATCTAAATCGATTCTGCGGTTTAAGCGTGAAGAGAAAACAGACAGATAGACAGAAATACAGACAGACAGACACATTATAGACAGATATATTAGTATGGATACAATTGAAATCTCCTACAATGTATAATAAATAGGAGAGCACGAGGTTTCAACGTCGATTTAATGTCTCAAACGGCTTGTATGAAGTTCCAACACTGTTGGACAAGTGTCGGCGAGACGCCGGTAAACGCTCGCCCACAAAGTTGGCGTCCTGGCGGCTGTTCACACCCGCGCGAGCGGCGGCGACTAACTCCGCAGATATCTGAAGCCTGTACTTTATACACATTCGCACACCTTTGTTAATATTAATGGTAAGACTGTGAGAATGCTCTTCTTACACCAATTTAAACGAATAAGGAGGTTCTCAATTCAATTATATTATTTATTTTTGTACTCGTATGTTGATTGTATTTTAAATACCATTTTGTATGGTCTCATTCAATTTTTAGACAATAATAATACTCGTAATGTAGTTTATTACAAGTCGGTGGTATTTCTATAAAAGTTAATTAGGTATCACACGACGAGTTCAAGTCGCTTGCTAATTTAATCGCAACGAAGACGTTAAAGGATGTAGGTGGTAACTAAAATTGTGTCGTTTTTAATCACTCGTCATTTAGTTCTTTACTATTTACATGCATTATAACATTTAATCATGACCAAAACCTATTAGAAAATACTAGTATCAGATAATGTTTTTAATGCATTGATGAGCTTTTATTCCAATTAATTAAAAAAAACTCGTTAACAATCATTCCGAAACCCTATTTCAAATTATAAAGTAAGTTTTAAATTTGGATCGTTAATTGAAATATTGTAACGGCGGTATAATTGTGCTACATTTGAAACGAGTTCATGAATCGAAACTAGGTTAATAGCGCGATATTAAAATAGCAATCGTGAAATGTATGGAAAGCGGCGACAAAATACATAGCCACCGTTACTTCATTATATCGCGTGTGATGTGGAGTGACGATCGAAATGACCGCGCTATTTGTCTACAATTATTGTGTTGGATTATGTTACAAAGTTGTGCAAAGCGGTGCACGATATGGCAGCGGTAGACGTTCGGTAATAAATAGCGTGACGCGAAACGAGACTGCGCGGGACGGGTTCTTATTCGCTCAACCGCTATTAAGTCCCTTATTTACGTACAGCACTCACTAATCACACACAAGCATTGTTGTCTTGTTATTTCTGATACAAATTTTGCTGTAGTGTAAATTCATTATATTCTGGCGAATGAATATTTATTTATGATTTATATGAAAACATAATACAAGTGCTATTATCACACAAACACACACGCACTCACACGTACATACGAAAACTCACACTTTCGCACGTACACACAAACCCACACCTGGTAGTGGACCTTTGTAACTTTCATCACCCATAATACTGGTTCATGTATTTCTTAAAGAGCAAGCGTAAAGAAATTCACTTGGAGTAAACCCTTTTTGCGAAGCTTCATGATAAGGCAATCTAGGATATAGTTAGGTCGGTCTAGATTAGTGTCCACATACATAAATATATGTAAATGGTAGGTATCGACAAATCAAGCCTATTTCGGTGAGGGGTGAGGTGTGTATGTGTGCGCCTGGTTCTACTGTTGTAAAACACGAACATATCATATTTTAAATGAATATATCTGATATTATTCTATCACTGATCTGCAACCATATTAAGCCCTTACTATCCAGTACCTTTAAGGCAACACCAATGTTTTAATTGTTTTTAGTTTTTGTACTAATATTTATTCTCCAAATAAAAATTCAATTAGGTTTAAATCAATCATATCAACCTTATGAGACACAGGTTCGCCCGCATATGGAATACTGTTCTCATCTCGTTGCAGAGATACCCCAATACCAGCTTCTAGAGCTGGACCGCATTTAATGGAAAGCGACTCAAATTTGTTGTGGTTTATTGCCAGGATATTTCAGATCGACTTAACTGGAGATATATGGCTTGCATAGAGTTCTCTGAGGAATCGTTCAGAGTTATTTCGGTGTCAGCCTTACATCAGTACCTGTTTACGCGCTCGACTATTGTTTTGAAGCTTTTTGCCTCACTCAACAAACCTGAATTATCGCCTGCGAAATATCGGGAACGCTCATTTGTGCCCTAGGTCATAAAAAAGAAGAAAACAATGATAGATCTAATACCTTTAAAACCACTATTCTTGCATATATATATATTGAATCTCGGAAACGGCATATACGATAGTCATGAAATTTAGTATGAAGGGGTTTCGGGGGCGATTCATCGATCTAGCTAGGTTTCATTTTTAGAAAATTTACCAAAAAAAAAAATACCGAGCCAAGCTTGGTCATCCAGGTACTGTAATAAAAACAAGACACCGTTTTATAGTAAGCGAATGTCTTGACAACAGCTCTACCGGTTCAACATTTTTTTTATTTTGTATGTTAATAAAGTTCTGAAATGGATACAATATCAATAAAAAAATCATGTTGATTAATATTTTATGACAAATAATCCTGAGGTTCTCCTAAGTGTCTCCTGCGGTTGCCCCTGTGTCAGGGAGTGTTTATGAAACTTGCAATCACTTGATAGACGTCCTAATTCCAAGTTTCAAATACTCGTACACTTTAATGGCCTTTGGATTAGCAGTTGACGTACGACACTGCACCAACACGCGCGGACACAGCAAAAGGGCATATATTTATTACTGCTTGCCTTTATCGTACGAAAAATACTCTCGTTTCGAGATAATCAGCCAGCCCAAACATTTTATTTTTATGTTGTTTTATTTTCTATTTCTTATTGAATTCTTATTACTTCTGAGAATGATCATGTCCATTAGAATACAAATTCACCTATCTCCAAAAATGCATTCGAATGTTTTCGTCTAAGGTTCTACTTTCAGAAATATAAAATATCGACACTGCCAAGCATCTGTACAGGGTGTAAGAGACGTCGTAACGAATACTGAAATTGTATATTCAGACCATCATTCTGAGTCGAAATCATTGCAATTTTCTGCCGGAAAAATAAACTTGTTATCCAATCAGCTGTCAAAGGTTAAGGTCGTTCCCCGTAGGTATCGCACAAAAGTAATAACTACATGTGTATTACGCGCAAACAGTCTACGCACACTAACATAAGTTGGTGGCTGGAGAGGAGGCCCTGCCCCCCTTCCCCCTTGGCTGTTTGATTAATTACATTGCAGTTTTATGGTATTTATTAAATTGTTTTCGATGAAATGTTCTGTTTACTCATTGTGATATCATTCTTCATCGTTTTCAGTCATGGTCTGAATACACATTTCAGTGTAAGATGTCCCATACGCTCTGTATTTTCGAAATTGCAATGTTTGTCGAAAAAAATACTTGATTGTCTCCACGGTTAGAGGATACGGTTTCACGGAACGCACGTGGGAATAGTAGGCTACGCTACTACTACACCAAGCAAGAACGGCACACATAGAAGTGTCTTTTGTATGGCTCTAGTAATTTATAACCCTATACCGCAATAATAGAAGAACTTGGGCAAAAGTGCATACAAGAGCAAGTTAAAAGATTTTCTGGAAATGAAAGCATACTATTCTGTAATAGACTTCTTAATGTAGAAAATATAATTGAATGAATGTTTCAGTACAATATACTATTATTAATACAATTATACTAATTGTGTAATACAGTACATTACGATTGTGAAAGTTATTCTCATTTAAATTGGCATTAATAGAATTCTGACTTCTTATTATATATCAATTAAGCTCCAATTAAGTTTTCTGATAGTGATCTACTGCGTGTCTAAAGGTGGAATATGACAGAACATCTTTAATGTGCAACACCTTGATTGTAAACCCACGTCCGCCATAATAATAGATGATTAATTGATTGAAGTTGTGCTGCCAAAGTATGATGGTAAACAAAAAATAGTTTTAAGAATCGAATATTGTCAGGTTTGGAAATTGTCCTGCTGGCGCGCACCTTT